ATTAAGTTAGATAAAAGGAAAAAAATGGGGGGGGGGGACAATCAAGTAAGAAACTGGAAACGTACCGAAAATGAGAGGACTTTTTTTTTCATGACGTTATATTCGAAGTGCGTTTAATTGATCTACCAATGTACCATCACTATTCCGAAGAAGGGAAATGTGGCACTTTCAGACCGTTCATAAAAAACTACGACACTCATTCATACATATATTGTGTGTGTGTGTGTGTGTGTGTGTGTGTGCGTGCGCGCGCATAGTATTTTTAGTGTAGGTTGATCATTTTGACTTGGTCATTTGAAAAGTATCTCGCAAGGCAAAAAAGTGTGGGCACCCCTGGTTGAGAGGTTTGAATATGAAAGGCATGCTCGCAGGTGATGATGCATTGTATACTAAACTCAAGCCTGCCCAACATACTGTTTGTGTGTGTCACTGGTAATAATTTGTGACAAAGTGCTACTTGCCCACTTTAACCATGACCACTTCCTCTTGAGGGTACACCAGCTCGGGCTCTGCACGCACTGTGTTTGTAAGGGCTAAAGACACAAAATGAATCATAAATGATTCTTCATTAGAGATTCAATCTGATAACACTTCAGGCTAAAGTGACCTATAGAACCTACCATTGTCAATAGTCAGCTGGATGCTGCGTGCAGCTGTGTAATTCCTGCCATTCAAGTTAATATGTACCAGGCAAGTGTATTTCCCAGCATCCATCTCTGAGACTGGTGGCAGCCTCATGATACCATTCTTATCCACTGAGATGGGCTTCACTAGGCGACAGTCCTGCACAGAAACACAGACTGTGATTATTTACAGCACAATAATAACTACAAACTTTATTTATAGAGCACTTTTCAAAGTGCCTTGCACAAGGCAACAGATTAAAAGCCAACAACAACAAAATTAATTACTTTAAACTGAACCTAGTGGAAAGTTTTAAAAGGTTAACCAATAGTAAAATAAAACAAAAATAGAATATAAAAATTTTATTTAAATCAGGATAAGCTGGTAACACTTTTTTCATCTTTCTATTTAGCATTAATAAGCAGTATATCCACATTTAGTAAATTATTTATAAACCATTATAATGTCATTGTAAGAAGATACTGTATGTGTTTATTAAGGTATTTGTAAATAACTGTAATGCCTCCTGTGGATGCCCATAAGTAGATGTTGGTGTATAAACAGATATCAGATGACAATATAGTAAAGCACTGTACAGTAATAATATAAAATAAGGTTCACAGGAGAAGTTGAACCAGTTAACAAATATTGTGTTTTAATCACCGTTGTCTGCCTTTTTTTTTTTATTGCCTCGCCTCGTCCAGCGCAGAATTGTGACGGCTGTCGCATCACACACACACACACACACACACACACACACACACTCCTATGGGCAATTTAGAGACACCAATCAACCTAAGCTGCATGTCTTTGGATTGTGGGAGGAAGCCAGAGAACCCACGCAAGCACGGGGAGAACATGCAAACTCCACACAGAAAGGTCCCAGGTGGGGCCCGAACCCAGAACCTTCTCGCTGTGAGGCAACGGCGCTAACCACTGCGCCACCATGCTGCCCCTGTTGCATTTCAATGACATAAAAATCGCATGAAATGCGACCTGGCCGTTCAGACTGAAGTCGCATTGCAAAACATCGGATATGTATCTGATTTAGGACCACATATGAAAGTGGCCTGGGTCGGATTTGAAAAAATCAAATTTGTGCTGTTCACACTGTCATAAGGAAATCGGATATGGGTCGCATTTGGGCAAAAAGATTGGATTTGAGTCACTTCAGCCTGCAGTGTGAACGTGGTCTAAGTAAGGAAAGTATCTATTAGCTGTCCTAAAAGTCACTAGAAGTCGCTAGATGACATCATCGCATAATTTGCATAATTTCTCATTTGCATGTAATTGTAATGGACGAGAGGAATACGGTCGTGGGAGAGACAAAAAGTGAGTAAAAACACCCTAAATATGTTTAGAACTACAAATGAACTTTCTTCTGTTGAGTCTTGTTTAGTTTTTTTTTTTTGCCATTGAAATGGGCCATCACTTCTCAAAATAACTTTAATGCTTTGTCTAGACAGTATGTTAGATTGCTCTCAATGGAGCACCGATAGAAGGACACCAGCAGTCTCTGGGAGATGTTGTTGTTCCTGAGCACCCATAGGAAATATGCTGCTATAGGCCTAGGCTGCCGAGGGGCCCCCCCTTTATACTCTGAGATGTAACATATGTACTCCAGCAACAGAAAGTGACAACAAAGTGTAGGTCTTTGGTTCTTGTTACCATTGCTAACTCTGCGAGGCGAAACAGTGCTGATTTATTCCAAGGATTACAGGTAAAATTAACATTACACGCTCAGGTATCTTGCACCTCCAAACTGCTCGCAGGCAGATGTAAGATGAAAGACCCTGAATCCACCAGGCCTATACATTATATCCCTTTGGTTGGGCTAGCCCCATACTACACAGAAACGTCAACCGGGGCGTCTCTGTTACCATCTTTGCAGCTGGACATAGTAGTAGTCAAAACATGAAGCAACTCACTGTGTGAATGTGTGTGTCTGTTGGTTAAGTGGTGTGTAACTAAAAACATTCTCACGACCTCTAGTACATGTCGTGACTTAAACATAAGAACATATTATGGCTAAGGCTACCGTTATACACGTCGTAATAATAATATTAAACACCCTGTCTGCTGACAGTCCTCAACTCTTCTCTCTAGTTATCCTTGACCAGATGTACCCTGTAGAAACTCATAAGCATGACTAAGCATTTAACAGTCTAACTAGACATCCTATCTCCACTAAACATTTCTAATACATAAAGTATCTATCCAATTTCTATCTGACTAAAAATACCTAACAAAAGGAAAGACTTTCCCGTTTTAAATTAAATATCACGGCCATTTGAATATTGTTTCAGAGTTTACGAGGTGCTTTGAATGCACCATAAAGTATCCTGAAGCGCCCATAGGCTTTACCATACATTCCAATGTAGTCGCGCAATCAGTTTTAAGCCGCTTTAGCGCGATCGTGTATCGCCGAAGTGTAGATGGCGTGAAGGCAGTTTTCTTTAGGCAGTTCGGCGCTGCTCTTAGGTGAAAGGCATGCTGGGATACCAGTCACGGCGGAATGTTTTAAAGAAGCTAGCCTCAGTAGTTATCACTGAAGATGCAGCGACCTGTCTCCAGTTTGGGTCTCAGTCCCAGTGTAAAAGTGAAACTGGTCAACTCTGGTTTACAGTTCACTGCAGACCTTCTGCATCTCAAACCGCTACAGCTTAGTAAAGGTAAACGTTATTTTCACCGGTATTCTCAACAAACCCCGGTCTTAAAAACCCGGTAACGCTAACGTTAGAACCGCAGAACGCCAGTAAAACATTGCTTATTGATTGTAACGTACTTACCAGGGAATGGTAAAACGCCGAATGTATAAACGCAATGTCTGTTTGCAAACTATTTAAATTCGGCTTGTAGACAAAAGGATAATCACCTTTATTGGCCAAGTATGTTACACACAAGGAATGTGTTTTCAGTACAGAACCGAGGCAGCCATCTGCGGCGCCAACGCAACCGATGGCTCTAACCATCGGGGTTAGACCGGGGGGGTGGGGGTTCAGTGTCTTGCCCAAGGACACTTCGACACATGGACTGCCAGCACCGAGATTCGAACCGCCAACCTTGTGGCTGGAAGACGGCTGCTCTACCCACCGCACCACTGTCGCCTCCCAGACCTAGTTGGTTTCCCTCCGCCTCTCCTAACTTCGTTCACGGTTTTAATCACCTGGGTTTTGGTTGAACATAAACCTGGAGTAGGACGCACGGCCATGAGCTGATAAACTCGCTCGGTCATGTTCTTATCTGCTGTTGCATGATGTAAACAGTTCTAGACTTAAATTATCCAGAAATTTATATGTCTCCTGACTGAAAAAACTTAGAAAAAAATCAACTGGACTAGATTTCTAGGTCGAAGACGTTTCACCTCTCATCCAAGAGGCTTCATTAGTTCTGGCTGACTGGTGTTGAGCCGGAGATATTTATTCCCCTCGGTGGTGTTTCAGTCCTTAGAAGGCCAACAATGTCCCTTAACACCCAGTATCGGTGAGAGTTGTTACCTGTCTTTGAATCCTCCCCTGTCGACCGACGCCTATTGTCCTGGTGGGCATGTTTGGGCACTGTCCTCAAGTTCTGATGACTCCCAGTTTGTGTTGAAGTAGATGGTGCGAGTCAAAAAGCAGGTATTGGTCCGTGTGTGTAGGTTTCCGATATACTTCTACCTTCAGGCTTCTGTCCCCTCCCAAGTGAACTGCACAATCCAGAAAGGCCAGGCAGTCATCTCTGGCATCCTCAGCAGTGAATTTGATGTCGTCATCCGCGGAGTTGATATGTTTGGTGATAGCCCAGTTAACTTTAAACCAGGGAACACCCTGCGGCAGAGACTGGTCCACCTGAAGGACAAAACACCCAGACATAAACAGAGTGATGTGGTGTATGCAATTAAGTGTAGTCAGGAGTGTAACGACTTGTACATTGGTGAAACTAAGCAGCCGCTTCACAAACACATGGCCCAACACAGGAGGGCCAACTCCAGTGGACCAGAGTCAGCAGTCCACCTCCACCTGAAGGACAAAGGACATTCTTTTGAGGACAGTGAAGTCCAGATCCTCTCCAGAGAACATCGCTGGTTTGAGAGAGGAGTTAAGGAAGCTATTTTTGTAAAAATAGAACACTCCTCACTAAATAGGGGTGGTGGACTAAGTTTTTTTCAGTTTACTATGGCCTGGAAGACTGAGAATCTGCAGACATAGGTCTCCTGACTCACCAAACTACTTTTAAAACACCAGTTTTAACATTTACTTATCATTTCCTAATTTTTAACAAATCTGAACATAAATTAATTAAAACAAAACTTACAGTAATTCAAAATGTCCGTCTGTTTAACACTGTACCTGTTGCTGACTGTAAACCACTTAAGAGTGCTGTAATATTTTCTACAAGCTGTAATTCAGCTTGTAGACGGCTTTAAATTTTAGCTAAAACTGAACTTGTCCACTCTATTCACCATAACACTTGGCTGTGGCTCTACCGGACAGTCATGGTCCAGTGGTCACACCTCCAGTGTGTGATAACATTGACCTGTTGAACTTGCTGTGACACCTCTGGATGAGTCTGTTAAATTTAATGTGTGTTGTGTTGGAGATACTGGTTTGTCCCAGCAGGAGGCACTAGAGGTGCTACAGGCCGTGAAGACAGATGGAGGAGGTGATGAAGCAAGAGGAGGAAGAGTGCCAGCCTCTCTGACAGCTCTGGAGCTCCTGCAGCAGGAAGAGGAGATGAGGAGCATTGTGACATTCTCCTCTCAGCTGGATGCTGCTCTTGGAGGAGGAATTCCTGTTGGAAAATCTACAGAAATCTGTGGAGTTCCAGGAGTCGGAAAAACACAGCTGTGGTCAGAAACACACACTTGTATATTGATGTACATCCACACACACACACACACACACACACACACACGTTCATTCACCTGTTCCTGTGTTGACAGACGGCTCAGCTCATTAATAAGTGAGACCACTGGGTCACACAAGTCAAACTCAAACATATTAATATGTTTGATCCACCATTTTTTCTAAGTCTGATGTATTTACTCAGTTCTGTATCAGCTTGAAATAAAAAAGAAAATTACATGAAATGTAATTAAAGAAAAGTCAGAAAAATACTTGAAATGTAGAATGAAGATAATTATAACTGCTGCTTGTATTTCATCGGTGCTCCTACATTCATAACCAGGTCTCCAGATCAGATTGTTGATGATTTGTTTAAAGCCGATTTAAAAGTCCTCTGGACCTATTGTCATAGCAACAAGTACTTAAACCCAAACCTGCAAAAATGCATGATCATGTGACCTGTGTCTTGATGGTGTCAGTCTGCAGCTGTCGGTCGATGTCCAGGTACCTCAAAGTTTTGGTGGGGTCGGAGGTCAGGTGATCTACATTGACACCGAGGGCAGCTTCCTGGTGCAGAGAGTCATCGACATGGCAACTGCTGCTGTCAAACACTGCTCCTTATTGGTGGAAGATGATGAGCAGCGAGTTGCCATGACAACTTTCACCATTGAGAACATCCTGTCTAACATCTTCTTGGTAATGATAAGACATCACAATAACAAAAGTCATCACACTCAGGTGATAAGGAGCCTCATTCTGACTGACCTCTCTTAGGTGCGTTGCCATGACTACGTGGAGCTGTTGGCTGAGCTCCACCTGCTGCCCGATTTCCTGTCGGACCACCCAAAGTCCCGCCTCTTGGTGATTGACAGTGTAGCGTGTCTGTTCAGACAGTTTGATGACCTTTCCCTGAGGACACGCCTCCTCCATAGCCTCACCCAGCAGCTCATTGCCATGGCAACCAGACATCACATCGCCGTAGTGATCACCAACCAGATGACCACACGGCTGCGAGGCAGCCACTCGCAGCTTGTTCCTGCCTTTGGAGAGAGCTGGGGCCATGCTCCCACCATCAGACTCCTCTTACAATGGGCGGGGTCTAGGCGGATGGTGGCCATTTATAAATCTCCATGTCAGATGGACGCCACCATCCAGTACCAGATCACCTCTGAGGGTTTCAGAGATGCTGACCAACCAGAGCAGTCGCAGAGCAAACGGCCTAGGACTCACACTGATCAATAAGTTGCTAGCCATAAGATGCCTGCTGTTGATTGGTCAGACACTGATCTGATAGCAGTGCCCACATGATAAAATGTATCATTATAGCTGAAAGGCTCTGCACACTCTCACAGGTGTGGTACAGCCCCACACACCTGCTGCAGCTGATCACACCTGAAGTATGTCAAGTGGCAGAAGCTGGGATTTCTGTGAGGACAGCGGTCAGAAATCTAAAGTTGTAAACTGTTCTGCAACACGACTAGAGTTGGTCAAGTCCTCACTTACACGATGAGTACTTTCACTCTGGATAATTTAAGTACATGTTCCTGGTAATACTTGTGTGTTTTTAGTCAAGTAGAATTTTGAATGCAGGACTTGTAACAGAGTATTTCTATCTACCATTATTGGTTTTACTGAAGTGAAAGATTTGAATACTTTGTCCAAGTCTGACTTAAGTCCTGAACAGAAAAACTCAATGTTGCTTAAGTTGTTCATTTTTGTTGCTGTTTTTTTAAAGATGTATGAACATTTATCTTACTCAGAAACACAAACATGCAGATCTATTTTTGTAGATTAATTCATCACTTATGTTTTCTAATAATCTGAGCTCCACCACAGGCTGACTGTAGCAGGCGGTGCTCCATTCAAAAGGTTTATTCATGATGAGTTCAGGGGAACTCTGGGTTTTCAGGTCCCAAAATGTAGATTGCTTGAATTCGAGTGATTTACCATGGTAACTGTAATCTGCTCACTGGCAGGTTTCCTTGAAGCCGTTTACTTTTTTTCATTGAAGAGTGGATCGGAGCATATTGATTTCAGAAGTTTATGTCTGGAGAAGAGGATAAAATTCCCGGTTGGATAGTAACCTAACGGTTTGTTGCCCAAGATGTGATCACTTTTATGATAAGTCAATGTAAAGGCAGTGGTTTACTCACATTTAAATACTGGTAGTTTATTAGTATGGATTCTTTCTCAGCTCAGAATAAAATCTAGATACTGTCTAACATGGCGACTGGTCGGGAAGACACTTGTCAGTCAATTCCCGTGTACTGAAACATCTACTGTACACTACTGTGGTCACTGTAAATAAAATGAATATGTGTGAAGCATTGGGCACATGAAACAGTGATAATAAAATAACTCACATAAAAAGTAATTCCAGCACACAGGAGGGTTGTCATCTTCATTTACTACCTCCACCCAGGATGGGGTTATGTTTTTGCTGGCATTTGTTGGTTTGTTATCAGCATAACTCAAAAAGTAATGAACGGCCCAAGGAACAACTGATGAGATTCTGGTGCTGATCTGTATCATCATTTGCATAAAGGAATATTTTTTAAAAGTTTTTCCCCATTGTGAATGCTGAAAAGGCTGCTGACTGTATGTGAGCCCCCTTGTGGCCAAAGTGTGCCGCTGAGCCCATACAAAGAAAGCCCTGCCTCAGCAGCAGCTGCCCATTCGCTGTCAGTGGAAACCAAGTGCTGTGACTCAGCCCACCCTGCTGTGTGAGACGAGGACAGGAGGAGCCCAGCAAGGCCACGGCCCACAGCTGGGGAGAGACCTGCTCTATGCAGCGACAGCCAGGCCAGAGCCTGGTGGCAGAGATTTGGAGCCAAACTCAAAGCTGTTCTCAGTTTCATCTGTAGGACTGGTTATACGCCACTTTATTAGGTTGTGACATGTTTTCAGGCAACACAGTAACCACTTGGAGTCAGAATATGAGCTCAGTTTATCCAGGTAACACCAAGTTAGAATTGGTTCTGATGTTTTCCAAGATGTGACTGCTTGTTATCTGACCAAGCTAGCTGTGTTAGCAGGCAGCTGCATGTGGTACAGAGCCCAGCAGTCTGTCGGCGAGGACGCTGCTGTTCCAGCTGCACATTATAGCTGGGTTTCCACTGTCAGAGCCCAACAAGCAGTACACGGCCTGCTTCCCTTAATCATCACCCAAAATGATGTCACCGTCCAGCTTTGCTTTTCCACTGTGTCGGTCTCTGTTTAGAGGAGGGAGGGGCTGCACTCCTCTCTCACACAGAGCTGAGCAGAGGACGTGAAGGATCAGTCCACAGTACCGATCAGCCAGTAACAGGCTGGATGGGCAGTTCATCAACAGCTGTTGGACAAGCAGAACATGGACTTGTAGAAATGTGACTGTGGTGATAAGAGCATGGCTCCTCCATGTCTGGCCCATAATACGAGGAACTAACAGTCCACTTCAATAAATTATTACCCCTTTGAGGTCTACTTTATGGGGGCATTTTCATCTAGTGTACATTGGAGGATGAAGGATGCTACTGTCACCTACAGTACCTGATGCATCAAAGTAATACAGCATTATAGCATAACAGGCTATAGTAGAGCACAAGACAGTATCTTTACCAAGTTTAATATATAAAGACACAAACCAGAGGAACCCTGGCTTAATGATGCTTTCGTGTCCCTACAGGTTCACATGTTGCAGCGTGAACATGAGATCATGGAAAGGACTTCCACCGAGACAAGCAGCAGACTATATCAGCCTGTTGCGATGTTTTCAGTGGGAAAGTAGTGCAGACTCACATTGATCTCAGCTGCTGCAAAATCTGTTTCCATTACAAACACCGAGTCTGTTTCAGTGACACACAGCCTGATCCTGAAGGTCAAAGGTCAGCTGCTTCAGTCTGAGATCAGTACCGTTCACTTCTTCTTCTTCACCACCGTCCACCCATCCTCTTCATCATGAGGTGGAGGATCTGTCCTGTTGGCTGATGGACAGGATGCTTCACATTCCATCTTCTAAACAGAGAAAGACAGTTTATTATTTCTTATGTTCTGAGCTGGTGTCTAAACAGTTTGATTCTGAAATGAAGATGAAGCTTTAGTTTCTCAGTTAAACACATCAGGAATCTTCTAAAATTAACTGTAAATTATAGCAAGATGTATCATATGGCCCATCATACTTCACTATGTTACATCAAGATACATCATGACAAATAAAATTTGGCATTTTTCCTTTGACAAGTTGAGGCCAGAAAATATTTCCACTCTTTTCTGATGTTTTAGAGATGAATCATAAAAATGATCAGCAGGTTAATCAATAAAGAAATGGCAGTTCTAGAAGCTGTTTACTGATTTCCTCTATAGTTAGTTCCTCAGATGCATCCTGTGACCCGTGCGGTGCTGAACTACACCTGTATAGGAATCACAAAAATAAAACTTATACATATAATCACACCTGGACATTCAGCATCATCTTGCACAGTTCCTCTAATTCACCTGTGTGTAAACAGGCCAATCAGAGATCTATATATGTAGCTGTATGTGACAGGTAAGACGTACCTGCGTTTCATCATTGCTGTCTTCATCAGACTGTGTGAGCGGAGCAACGACCGCCGCCCTCTGGCTCTTCTGTGTCAGAGTGTTGATGGTGTGTTGGAGCTGCTGCAGTGCCCCCTCTTGCCACTGACTGAACACCTGCAGGAGACTGACAGACACCTGAGGACACAGGTGAGAGAGGCTAACATTATACATCTCCACTTGTAGACATACGTACACCGGGTTAAATGTTTTGAATTGTATCTTATGTTAAGCACTTTGTTGGCCTCGGCTGTGTTCAAGTGCTTTATACAGTGCCTTGCGAAAGTATTCGGCCCCCTTGAACTTTGCGACCTTTTGCCACATTTCAGGCTTCAAACATAAAGATATAAAACTGTAATTTTTTGTGAAGAATCAACAACAAGTGGGACACAATCATGAAGTGGAACGAAATTTATTGGATATTTCAAACTTTTTTAACAAATAAAAAACTGAATAATTGGGCGTGCAAAATTATTCAGCCCCTTTACTTTCAGTGCAGCAAACTCTCTCCAGAAGTTCAGTGAGGATCTCTGAATGATCCAATGTTGACCTAAATGACTAATGATGATAAATAGAATCCACCTGTGTGTAATCAAGTCTCCGTATAAATGCACCTGCACTGTGATAGTCTCAGAGGTCCGTTTAAAGCGCAGAGAGCATCATGAAGAACAAGGAACACACCAGGCAGGTCCGAGATACTGTTGTGGAGAAGTTTAAAGCCGGATTTGGATACAAAAAGATTTCCCAAGCTTTAAACATCCCAAGGAGCACTGTGCAAGTGATAATATTGAAATGGAAGGAGTATCAGACCACTGCAAATCTACCAAGACCTGGCCGTCCCTCTAAACTTTCAGCTCATACAAGGAGAAGACTGATCAGAGATGCAGCCAAGAGGCCCATGATCACTCTGGATGAACTGCAGAGATCTACAGCTGAGGTGGGAGACTCTGTCCATAGGACAACAATCAGTCGTATACTGCACAAATCTGGCCTTTATGGAAGAGTGGCAAGAAGAAAGCCATTTCTTAAAGATATCCATAAAAAGTGTCGTTTAAAGTTTGCCACAAGCCACCTGGGAGACGCACCAAACATGTGGAAGAAGGTGCTCTGGTCAGATGAAACCAAAATTGAACTTTTTGGCAACAATGCAAAACGTTATGTTTGGCGTAAAAGCAACACAGCTCATCACCTTGAACACACCATCCCCACTGTCAAACATGGTGGTGGCAGCATCATGGTTTGGGCCTGCTTTTCTTCAGCAGGGGCAGGGAAGATGGTTAAAATTGATGGGAAGATGGATGGAGCCAAATACAGGACCATTTTGGAAGGAAACCTGATGGAGTCTGCAACAGACCTGAGACTGGGACGGAGATTTGTCTTCCAACAAGACAATGATCCAAAACATAAAGCAAAATCTACAATGGAATGGTTCACAAATAAACATATCCAGGTGTTAGAATGGCCAAGTCAAAGTCCAGACCTGAATCCAATTGAGAATCTGTGGAAAGAACTGAAAACTGCTGTTCACAAACGCTCTCTATCCAACCTCACTGAGCTCGAGCTGTTTTGCAAGGAGGAATGGGCAAAAATTTCCGTCTCTCGATGTGCAAAACTGATAGAGACATACCCCAAGTGACTTACAGCTGTAATCGCAGCAAAAGGTGGCGCTACAAAGTATTAACTTAAGGGGGCTGAATAATTTTGCACGCCCAATTTTTCAGTGTTTTATTTGTTAAAACGTTTGAAATATCCAATAAATTTCGTTCCACTTCATGATTGTGTCCCACTTGTTGTTGATTCTTCACAAAAAATTACAGTTTTATATCTTTATGTTTGAAGCCTGAAATGTGGCAAAAGGTCGCAAAGTTCAAGGGGGCCGAATACTTTCGCAAGGCACTGTATATATATGCACACCTCTATCACACCGAGAGCTGCTCCTCTGCTGTGATTTCACATGTTGAATGGACATAGTCACTTTGCAGAAGTCCAGTCTGAAGTTGGCTCTGGCTTTGACACTTTCTCATCAGAGACTTGTTTTAAATGCGGGTAAGGCCAAGTACACCACTGCTATTTAAATCATACCCACTTCAATCTGACTCCTACACATGCTGAGAAATCTGATTTTCAAGTACAGCATGGACATGGTGGTTTGGTCTAAGCACATTGCAACCTTCTTGGAGCAAAGCAGCAGCCGCTGACAGAAGTAAGATGTTACTGATGAGATGAAGAGGCAGGTAGATGTGCAAATGCAGTCTCCCAGGCTCAGCAGGGACAGAGGATGAGATGGGAAGATGTAGAAAGGAAGAAACTCAGTTGGAGGGAAATGTGGGAGATGGATGCAGGAAGGATCAGATTAATTTTAGGTGCAACTTATGATCTGCTTCCGTCTTCCCAAAATCTGAATAGATGGATAGGAGAGGACCAAACATGTCCCTTGTGTTCAAGTGTAGCATCACTTTGGCTCATCCTCTATAGGTGTAAAACAAGCCTGGCTCAAGGACGATACACCTGGAGACATAATCAAGGGCTGAAGTATTTAGCAGCAGCTACTGAAAGTAGATACTTAAAGGTCAACTCAGTGGAGGAGAAGAAGAAACATGAGGAGATTTTGTTTGTTTGTGAGGGTGAAAAAAGCAGAAAGCAAGTTGTTTGGAACAGGCAGGATGTAGGCCAGCTAAAGGCAGGGAGAGACTGGCACATGACAGTAGGTTTAGGGAATCAGCTCATAGTTCCTGAGGAGAGAGTCAACACTAACCTCAGACCGAACCTTGTGTTGTGGTCAAGTAATTCTTGAATGCTTGATAAATACAGCCCCAGGTGAGATTAAGGCTAGGGGATGCATTATTTCAATGAGGGTCCTCACAGCTATAGAAGTACAGAGTGTGTGTGTGTGTTTGTGTGTGTGTGTGTACCTGAGGTAAACTCCCATCTTCCACCACTGTGTCAAACTCCTGATCCATCAGTTCAGCAATGAAGTCCTCGACTTCACACTGCTGCAGGTCAGCTGATCACACAGATTCAGAAGTTAGCACAACACAGTGGCGTTCAGCCCTCCAACAAGAACACGCTGTTAGTTTGGAATGTACTGGGCATCTCATCTCCTATTGTGTTTTCATTACTGCTGACTATTGCAGCTACTGCTCTGATGCAGAATACATTATCTCTCATTATATATTTTTTTATACTTTTCATTATATTTTTCATTCGCTGGTTGAAGTGCCTTTAGATATTTATGCCATTTATCTACTTTATATTTCATTTGTATTTTGTGGCATTCAGTGTGGACGGCAAAGTAAGAATTTCATTGTGCAGGGAAACACGTTTCCATACTGAATCTTGAATCTTAGATATATCAGATCTCATTACTGCTGTGTGCACTGTGTTGACACAGACTTTTGTATGTTGGTCTCTCTCATAAGAACAAGAGCTGTGATGGTTTTGCTCAAGTTCAAAAGTTGGATAAATGGCGTAAATTTCATTCTTTCTTGATTAATGTTGTATATCTGATGATTTCTTCTCAGGAAATTAAATGTCAGAATGTTCTGGAAAGAGTTTGAGTTAGCCTGACAGAGCATTTTGGGTATGGGGCGTACCGCTCGTTAGGTTCAGATAGTGGAAACGCAGCAATTGTTACTGATGCTGAATCCCCTTTGTCCTGAATTTGAAGTAATGTGTTCAGGACAGCAGTGCAGGACACCTCTGGCTACTTAAAAGATAAATAAGGGATCATTTATGCCAAGTGCAGTCAGTCTACTGACCAAGCAGCTGTAGAGTATCCCCAAATGCATTACTGATGTGCGATTGTATGTGTATTATTTGTTTCTATCCATTTCAACCCCTTATTGTTTTATTTTAAGTATAGCAGCATATTATAGCAGTTCACTCTTTGACCTGCTGCTGTCAGGTAGACGGTTCAGAGTAATCAAATCAAGGACCACTAGACTCAGGAATAGTTTTTACTCAACAGCAGTTACCACACTCAATGCTGCTAAAATATAATATGCCTGTGTGTGTGAGGGGGGTGTGTGAGAGGCCTGTTGTTTATTCTGTTTTTCTAGTGGTTAAGTTTTTTATATGGTTTTATTTCATATGTTGTTTTCTTTCTATTGCTGCACCGACTGGAGGTCACTCTAATATGCTGTTGTACATGTTACAATGACAATAAAGGATGATCTATTATCTATAGTTTTTATCTGTTACTTGTTTTTATGTCACTCGGTCATGTCTCAGTTTTGGTGAACCAAAGAAATTCCTACTTTGGTGAACAGTGAAGTTTTATTCTGGTCTGTTCTACAATGAACAGTTCATTCACACTCATTCACTATGCACCATATAAAGTATGTGGGTATGTGACTGATTAATCAATGATAAATAAATACAAGCCGTCAGATGACAGGTTGCCTCAGTTACCTACTGTTGTCATGGAAATACTGCTGAACAACATCCACCATCCAGTCAGCTTTCTGCTGCCCATACACGCCACCAAACCCGTTATCCACAGCGATCTGACAAAAGAAATAAAACACAACAGGTTACAATCTCATCTACTCCTGGGTCTGTTGGCTAACATCAGCTGATCCTCTGGGATCTACTGACCAACATAAGCACCAGCTGATCATCAGCGGATCCTGGATATGGTGACCAACATGATTTCCTAATTAGAAATTCGCTTTTGTGCCGCCATTTTCTTGTGCTGTTGCGCTTCTGTTTGCAACAAGTGAGGAAGGTCAAAGAAATCTGTTTTACTGCGTTTGCTACATGTGCATCATCATATGTAGTCACTCTCTCACGTCTGACACACTGGCAGGCTCAGGAGCTCTATTCTTCCTTCTTCTGTTTGATTTTAGTACTACCTCCTGAGGGACTCCCAGGACGCACCTCCAAAACGGGCGCCCCCTAGTGGAAACAAACGCAGAAGCCGTGACGACCGTTATTCGGCGGGACACGTCCCACAGTGGGTTCATATAATGGGAAACCCACATTAGTTACAGCATAATCTCAGGCGAGAACGGCGAAGTAACCTTAACCCTGGCTCAAAAAACTGCAGCCGCCTCGATCCTGTGAGAATATTGTTGCCTACGTAGGTGCTGCATCAGAGCAAGTCGGGATCAAGTCTGGCAGAAAACCGGATCGCCGGCGATCAATTCTGCGCCGATCTGGCTAATCTCGAACGTGTCTACTGTGTTTTCACTAGATCTGCTTTCTGGAGCACACACTAGTTTCCACACGAGCTCTGTCTCAGGTTGAGGTTAGCTTCATGTTAGCCTGTAAGCTTAAACCCCTCTGATCTGGACCTAGTCAGCAACAGTCTGTCTCTCTGCTGCCTGCTGTCTGTCTGTCCCTCAGCTGTGTCCCTCGGTACTTACCTGTAGGACAGGCCAAGTGTGAAGAACAACTCTCACTCCCTCCTTGAAAAGCTCACGGGAAACTGCAGATGTAGCCATATTGGATTTGTCAGACACAAACAGTAGAGTGAAGAAACAGTTTCCGGATCAGACATAAAGAATCAATGTCTATGGTAGTAGATAATCTACTCGAATGTATGACTGTTGAATTACTTTTGGAAAAAAAGAAGAATGTTATAATAAGCTGTATCTACAGAGCACCTGGAGCCAGCATAGAAAAATTTAATGACTGGATGGAAGAAAATTACTTGACAATAAGTCATAAATTAATGTTTATATGTGGAGACTTTAATATAGATTTGTTGAATCCTAACAAGCACACAGGAACTGAGGAGTTTATTATATAGATGCAGTTTATACCCGACAATTACAAAGAGAAAGGCAAAGAGAAAGACTTAGATAAAACATACGAGCAATTTTTAAATATATTTAAGAAAGTATATGACAGGAACTGTCCTCGTAAGCAGTATAAAAACAAGAGGAATTACAGTGGGAAACCGTGGATGAGTAAGGGATTACAGAATGCATGTAAAAAGAAGAATGCATTATATAAAGAATTCATAAAGGACAGATCCAAGAAGGCGGAAGAAATATATAAGTTATATACGAACAAATTAATTGCGTTATTGAGGATATGTAAGAAACAATATTACTCTAAATTATTAGAGGATAATAAAAATAGCATGAAAGGTACTTGGAATATATTAAATAAATTCATTAGAAACAGTTCCAGCAAGAATAACGACCCTCAATATTTTATACA